CGAGGAAAGGAGGTGGCGAGCAGCATCGGGCCTGCGAACGGGGCATCTTTCTGCGCAGGTGCTTACAAACGATGCTTCGCCTTCCAGCGGGAAATATTTAACACTCCGTGGTAAAGCTGGAGAGTGCAAACCCAGCGAGGGATCGTGAAAGGCGGTGAAGTACGGGTACTGACTTCCCAGAGACCCCCGCGCTGGTGCGAACCGCTAACCGCAGCCGGGAGGGGAGCACGCCCGCTCACGCCCCCGCGGTGCCGGGCACTGCCTCCACGTGCTGCCTGCCACAGCCCGGCCTGTTTGTTGACTTGTGTGATTTAAGGACACCACCGATTAGGGACACGTATGTAGTCATGTCTCCCTGTTACCCATCTATCCATCTACTACGCATGATAAAAGGCCCAGTGACGATAATAACAGCACAACTGACAGGTCTCACCATGAAATTAAACCTCCTGTATTTTATCTCAGTTTCTAAACGGACATTTTAACAGTCCGATAACTGCGAGCAAATCTGCATCAATTTCCAGCGCCCGTCTCTAGCGCAGGCTCGGCAGCCGGGCCCTCCCGTCGGAAAGATCACTGCTCGTGCTTCATCATTACGGCTCCAACTACTCCGTTTCAAAAGAGTCCCCTTCCTTTTTTAGCGTGTAAAAACTTAACATTTAATCTGTTTCTACTAGGGAACTGCAAGAAAGGATCCACAAAGGTCATCGTTCCCTGCTTAAAGAATTTGAATCGAGTTAAATTTCTTTAGGCTTTTCAGCGTAGGTAGCAACTAGGAATAAACACAGAAGAGGACGAGCAAAGGGGGGGGCTTTAACAGGCTTGACAAATGACACTGCGATTCACACCCACTGCTGGGCCGCCACTAATAAGCTACAGAGGAAGCAGCCAATCTCAGCTAATTACCAGATAAAATTGTATTGTAAGGACTCTAATTAGGAGATGCTTATGGAGGTGATCTAATGATTAAACGCTGCATCCAAGTGACCCCACCATCAATGTGCAGTGGTGCAAGATGTCACCGGAATATTTTGTAGAAACAGTAATTTTATTTCAAGGAGGGGAGGCAGTAATATTTGTAATAATGGCTATGAGGTAAACTAATTAAAAGACAGTTCCTAAAGGAAGACTGTGGCTTTGAGCAGCTGTGGCCGTTCCAAAACAAAGTGCCAAATCTCAACAGAGGAGCTGCAGTCAAGTGGAAAATTTCTGCCTGACCTCTGCTCTCGCTATTAATTTGCAGGAAAACTAATGACACATATACATATTCCCACAAAATTGTTCTAATTGCTAATTTGCCAAAGGAGCCCAGTTTCCAAATTAAACATGACTGCAGTCTGTGAGGAAAGAGAGAACAAAAAGCTGGAACGCAGCGAGTCTGCTGCGTTTCACCTCCGACGACCATTTGCGAGCCTGAACCAACAAGTTAATGAAACACGACCTTGTCGATCGCTAGCGAAGTTTTTCCTTTTTCCGTGTTTTATGTGATGACACTCTCCTCTTCCAGCCGGGGTCCGATCCCTGCCGGTGCCGTTACCAAAACCCAAGCGAGGGTAAGGGAGGAGAGGGGCTGCGCTCCCTCCGCAGACCTTCGCTGCTGCCGCCTTTGCTGCATCTCTAGTGCGAAGGCTGAAAAATCAGTTGTGAATTAGAGCAGAATAACAAATTATGAATGGTGTTGGTTTTGTTGCCATCTTGAATTATTAATCTGAACGGTAAACTATTAAATCTTAATATTGGCGTCAACTAGAGATGTGAAAGCGGCCGTGGATGAGTGTGCAGGGCAAAGATCAGGGAGGGACCGGGCTGCAAGGGTTTCTTTTCCTGACGGAAACTCAACCCAGTTATTCCCTATTTGCTTTTTCTATTTAAAAAAAAAAAGTTACTATGACTAGAAAGGTTAGTTGTGTTGGTATTTTCTATACAGCCTGTTTCCCACATACGGTAATTTTTGGATGAGTATCACTGCTGTCAGAGGGGAGGGAGCCTAAGTCACAGAATCAGCACTTCAACGAGCAAGACCTCCTGCACTGCAACAAGGCACAACGTGGGGCACTCTCCAAGCACGCTGCAGAGTACGGCCCTTGCACCAAGGAGTTAAATGTTTTTGTAACGTTTGTACTGGGGATGGGAGGAGGGAGGATTTCCTCCAGCCTTAAAAAAGCCAAACAACCCCAACAAAACCCCCCAAAACAAGAAGCGGGGGACACACAACAGAAAAACCACCAAACCCCACAAGTTTTAGGGCCTTAAATGCTGCCAATTCCATCACTGAACCTTGTTGGGTGCTTTGTTCAAGTTTTGGGTTTTGAGAACAGTTCCTCGTACTGTTTTAACTTAATCATAAATGCTGTAATTGTTTCAGCATTCAATATCCTGCTTAGGATTTTATTATTAACCTTCCCTTTCAAGAAATAGTCATGTCTTCCTATTAAAGGTGAAGACTGAGTCATTTTCTTTTTTTTTCTTTAGATATAAACAAGGCAGAGAGGTAACCCTCTCCTTCACCCCGTAAAATAGATTTCCAGTAAGTGGCTCTCCCATTAGGGCTCAGTCTGATTTCTTTTTGTGTAAACATTTCACATGACAATAGTGGCTGCCCATAAAAAAGCCCCTGAAAGTCTTCTAAAAGAAAAAAAATGTAAAAATTTCTAACTGTCACGGTGGGGCCATACCCACTGCTGCAGGGCAGCGACTCCTCTGCGATGGATGCTGCTGGCCTGGTCTCAACTAGGGCTGAGGATTTATCTGCACCGAGTTCCTAGGGCTGAAACAGTCTGGAGTAGAGACTCCTTTTCTTGACACCGAGGGTGGGAGAGAAAGCTAACGCTGGGCCTAAAACTTTGTTAAATGCTGTGTCTTCCTCTCCCGTTTCAGCCTGGACACATTAGTGCATTAGATGCAGAGCCTGGCAGGCAGCAATCACTTAGCAGGTGTTGTTATTGGCAGGAATACTAAGGAAACTGAAGCTGAGGAGTGAGACTTAATGAAAACCAGTATATAAAAACAGCTTTTGTTGTGCTTGAGAATCTCTCTTTATTGCTGCGTATCGTTATTTTTTCAAACTATAAAGTACGGCTACAGCAGCTAAAATGCTCAGTCATTACCTCAACAGTTAAAAGACTATTTTTTTTTTTAATGCTTTGTTATTACAGTTGCTAAAAACAGTATTTCAAAACAATCGTAACTGCTACGGTTAGGGTAAAAAAAATACATTAAAGAAGGGGTATCTAACAGTGCATTTTAGTCAAAGCACCAAAAGTTTCTTTCAAAGTTTTCTGTCTTTTTAAAAGATGGCTATAGCACCTAGTATGCAGAATTACTTGTTGGTTGATGCTTTTTCCTTTTCCTTCCCTTCCTATGAACTTCAACATAAGTTAATCCTTCGAAAGAAAGCACATTTCCATTTCAACCTATTATGCTGATCACTAACACCAACGAAAACAGCATGTCGGGGAAGGTATCTTAATAGCAAAACCAGAATGACAGTTCTGGAGAAATCGTCGTTCTGGCTTTTGTGATTTGTGGGTTTGTTCTTTGTTTTTTAACCTTAAAAAAAAAAAAAAAATCCATTTCACAAAAATGTATCACAGCATATTCCTTCACAGATAGCTTTGTTCTCACTTTATTCAGGCCCTTGACTCTCACCAAAACAACACATGTAGCAGCAACAGGAACAACTTTGTCTGCTCCAAGTGTTAAGTTGTGCGATACTTCCATTTCCTTTTGAAGTGCTGCACCGTTGGGCATTTTAATTATAAAGTTGGATATTTTTAAAGGTGGCACCGAGTGCTGCCCCAGCTCCCGATATGCTCGCCCTCCCCAGCCTCCTCCAGTCTGCCCAGTAACTCCTCAGGAGCAGGGGAAGAGCCGCCCTTTGCAGTACACCCGGCATCAACAGCAACCTCCCCACGTACGTACCTATCTGCCAACGATTCAGGCCATCCACCGCTACACTACGTAAGAACATGGTTCAATCTCGCGGGTTTTATGAGGACTGAAGAGCTTTACTGAACGGATGCCTCGGTGGACCGGTGCAGTGAAATGCTTGGGCCGCTCCACCGCCCTTCCCAAGGTCAAAATTACTGCAAGGTGCTGAAGCCACCCAAAGGTGGTGATGAGATGGATGGACGTGGTTGGACTGGACAGGCAACCCTTCCCCAAAGCTGGGCGAGTTCTGAACTGATGCACAACCCCCAAGAACCTGACTGTGGTCCGACTGGTCCCAAACCACCCGCTCAGCTACTGCCTGAAGCCCAGAAGCAAAGACGGTACCAATGGTCAGTGTGGATCACAAACGGCACGTGGGTAACACAGATGCTCAGTCACCAATTTTACCTGCCAGCAACAAAATAGTTTAAAAACAACCGTTAAGATCCTTTAAGCAGAATAGAACCATTTCCTCAGGCACGAAAAGGCTGAAATTTTGAATCGCAATTCAGTGCTATGTTTGGATTCGCAGCCGCTCTTTCCTTTAAAACCCCCGATGTACCATAATACATTAATTCTAACACACACCTTGCATTCGTTATGTTGGCAAAAAAAAAAAAAAAATTAATTACTGGATGTAAAGAATACTTTGCACTGCAATAATGGTCATCAGATCTTTTTACCAAAGTCCTATCCCACTGAGTTAAAAGGACTGGGGTCTAGCACAGCCTATGCAGTGCCTGTGTATTTTTTTCACTAGGAAAGCACAATTTATGCAAAACACTATATTTCTACATTTTATAATTAATTTTCAAATGCTTCACCTATACATATTTTAATAATTTCTGATTTATCAGATGGTATCTATAATAAATTTTTCTATATTTCAATAAATGAAAAGAAGGCAGTTTCAATCCAACAACAGAGTGCCACACAATATAGGCCTGTCAGGCACCAATTTTTACTTCTAACATGTAAGTTAAAGGATAAGGAATTTATAATGCTGCCTGTGAACGAAACCACTTTTCATACACAAATGTGATCTTTTTTTTTCCAAAGGGTAATACAACAGTACATTTACATAAACTAATCCAAACAATCTATGTATTTGACAATGGCAAACCTCACACAGACTGCCTATTGTTGGTTTACATCTTGGAGTTCTTTATGTTGGCTTGTAACACTGCTCTAGCTGTCAAAGGTTTGACTTGGACTCTAAATAAATGGTTATAGAAGTGCTGTGCAGCGATATTGGACTTCTTTGCAAAAGAAAACCTGCTGTGTATGAATTCAAAAGCTATTAATTTTTCAGTCAAAAATATTCATGCCTATTTCTTTTAATAAAGAAACACTGTGCTGAGCAACTGAGAGATAATGTTGACTAGTGGTACAGAATTTTCAATAGAGCAGTTAAAAATAAATTTAGTAGGAGGTCCCCAACAAAGCTATAATTTTCCAGAATGTAAAACATTTTTAATACTAATCAAGACAGCCCTTTTCCCCCTGCGTTCAATTTTTTTTTTTTCCCCCCCTTCTTCTTTTTCCGCTGCTTTTCCCTGTTTATTAGCTGTTAACACTAATCTTCATGGCGACACCGCCTGGTATCTCCGTGGCCTACAACACCCACGAAAGCTTCCTGCCCTCCGCGGCTGAGCATCGATCAAATTTGCCTTGCCAAACGCTGCTCGCCTTCTTATGATTTCCTCCCTTTAGTTCTTAATCCTTCCTCCTGAGGGGCACCGCTGTTACGAAAGGCCTCAAGGCAGAGTGCTTTGAGACTCCCAGATTATTCCGCTGTTTTAATTTTTAATCCAGTAAGAGCTATAGAAACCAAACCTCCTCCCCATTCAGTTGGGCCTACATACTTTGCCAACAATGCGCTGAAGCGTTTGCATTCAGGCCGAGATGGTTGCAAGGAACTAGAAGAATGCTATTTTTATAGACGCTGCAAGTAGTTTCTACTCTAGAGGGCTGGTATCCACTGGCTCAAGCAATTTTAGGCATCTCAACAGCTTAAATGGAAGGGTTTACACCTACCACTCAACTCTCTCCAAGAAGGCCCCAAAATTTCCCGTTGACTTTGACACCTGCTCCGGTGTTGCTGAATAGCCTGCAATTTTCTGTCTAGTAGCCTCCCTATGCACTTCTGCAGCCATTTATTTCCGACTACATGGAAACTGAGAAATCCTTTTCTAGTAAAAATGTGTGCGCGAAGTGTTTAATGATTTTATGTTCTCTATCTCTGTAATGTGTTCTGTTTCAGACATTAATTTTGTCTACCAACTGCATCTTGGCAGGCTACCATATTTGCTGGGTTAATAGTCTGACTCCTTTTTATTTCTATCACCATAAATCACACATATATGGGTGTGTGTTTGCTTTATTTATAGAAAAAAAATCAGTCAAAACAGATAAACCAATACTTTGTCATTATGCTGCATCATTGCATATTGATTAAAATTGCTAGTACTAACTATAGATTGTCAACGCTCAATTAATTTTCACACAATGACTCAAAGCAAAATCAAATAAAGCCAGTGTACCTTTAAATCTTACAAATCTTAAAATCAAGAAGCAAAGCACTCTCTCCATTTTGAATAATCATCGGAAGCTCTGAGGAACGTCTTCAGCGTTAAGAGGTTGGGAGAAAACAACAGCTGAAGAAGAGTCATTTCGGTCAGGGAACGAGACGGTGGATTTGCCTGGGTTTGAGGGTACCCAGGAGTTTTCTTGGGCTCAAAGCCACTTGCTTCCCCCGCACCCCTTCTTTTAAAGGGCAATGCGGGGCGGAGATGGTTTCCCTTCTCAGTTTCAACAGTATAAAACCTGATACTGGGTAACCACGATTAGCATCAAAACGTGCAGCTAGAGTCCCTTCTACTGTAAATGGCTGTCAGAGAGGGAGAAAGCAAAATAAATATAGTAAATATAATTTAATTACATCTCCTTCCTAACACTTCCTAAGATTTCATGCGAGTCGGGCTGATGCAAAGTGACTTACAGGCTAGTACGTGAGGCCAGAAAAAGGCCTGACACACCAGCTTTAGAGCAAAACTTCTTTCAAGAGAGGGGGACAATGCAACCCGGGTGCCCGTGGCGGTGCCTCCTGCAAAGCAGCACTTTGCATCTCCTCACCGTGACCGGCTCTGAAGCGGGCCGTGCTTTGCATCACGCGCTCCGGTGGGGAACAGGAAAGAGAGGTTTGTTGTGAGGTTTTGTTTGCTCTCGGTGCAGTTTGGTACTTACGGGCTGAGGGGTGGCTTTTGGTTCAGTTGACTTCACATGCAGGTGTGTCATCATGGCTTGCAGGCGCTCTTTATCTTTTGCAAGCTGAAAGGAGGGGGGAAAAAAAAAAATACGCTCTGTTACTCATACGAATAAAACCCAGCCTCTGCTTATTCCTAATTAAACAGCTGGCACCGAGGCATGAGACAGAAGAGTTTTACTGCTGAGTAGTTTGGAAATTGTATATGGTCTATTCGTGAGGTAAAGCTAACGCGTGGTGCTGGGTGTCACTGTTTCCCAAAGCAAAATGCATTAGCCCTCGAGTGAGAAGAGCTAGACCTGCCGGCACCAAGAGCTTCACTCTAGCCCTGACAGCTAAAAGACAACACTGAATCATGTTTATTAACCAGCCCCACTCCAGCTCAGGAGGAGCAGCAGAAAGCACACCAGGCAGCGGCTCCCAGATGCGTTCGCCTCCTTTCAGACCAGAAAACAAGCGGCACAAACGGACCGTGGCCTTTAGGTGACGTACAGGCTTTGCGGCAGGTGCAGCGAGCGCAGAGACGGCGGTGGTTAAACCACACGAGGCACCTCCGCGGGGCACGGCAGGCG